GATAATCTTCATCCTATGGACTAAGTTCTTATCCGATATATATTAGCATATGATTATCTATTGACGGGAAAATATAACTTCTTTGAAAATTTTACTGACTTTCTTCAACAATGAGTAGAGAGACAAAAACAGATTCATGAAATTGATTTTATTATTCTTTCCTAAATCTATCGGATAGAAATTCTGAGTAGCTAGGTGAAATTCAGGTATCGATCTTTGTATTATTCAAAACATATTTATAATGCTATCAGAGAAAAAACTTTTATCATTATCAAAGAAGTAACAGTTTTTGGCAGCGATGCACTCAGAAAAGCTAAAACATGTCGAGAGTGCAAGAACAGTTGTTTTGAGTGATGTACGTAAAAATTCATAGAATACTTTCTTCTATAATAGTTGTAAAAAGTAGATAAATCATCGATTGATTAAACTCTTAGAGAGACAAGTAAGTATGGATACTAGATTGCTATGCTTCATATTTGATTTGAAGATGCTTCTCTTGTAAATTAAATATTTCAATAAGGCAACAGATTTAGAAAGGAAATCTTTTAGCATTTTCATGTTTTAATTAAAACTAAGCACCAATAATATTTCATTGAAACCTGTAATATCGATTTCTGTACGTTAATCCATGATAATGAATAAATTCATCCTGTCTCTAAAATACTTGTGGACTTGTACATCGATACGAATTTTACTATGGAATACACAAAATACTGGTTGTACCAACATCATCAACAGATTTTTCAAAGAAAAATACCTAAGATTCAAAGTCGTTATCAATCTGTCTAGACGACATTCATTACATTGAGAAATTTCCAAACAACAAATAAACAGCTGTGTTTCTATTTTATCATGCCAATGATAATCAGTCTCATTTGAATTATTTTTTGTAAAATATATTCTATATAGAATGCAAAACATGCACTTATTATCAGCTTATCTAATATTTTCTCAATTAAATAGATTGAAATATTGAAGTAATCATTAAAAAACAGTTCTGTTTCATCAACGAAAATAGAGAAACGGGAGAGAGAAAAATAAATTAAACTAATTTGAAAACTTCAACGTCAGATGCAACAAAATTTCGAGCTCCAGTAAGGGTGTGGATGTGGATGTGCATCTTTCTATTCTATGAACCCACAACCACACCCTGTAGTTGAAGCCCGCCGTTTCCCCTTTACCCACCCCCCATCTCCATCTCCATCCACATACCTACATCCTCATACTCACTACTGAAGCCGTTCAATCCAGTTCATAGATTGCATGAAAAACGAATCAGATTCTCTAGCACATTTTCCTGCAAAGCGCACTTTTTCGAGTAAATACCTGCTGGATATCTACTTTAAACGTTACTTACGTAATGCTCGACATATTTCGCATTCTATCAAAAAGTTCGACAAAGCACCGAAAGTGATCATATTCGACAGTGTTACCAACCTAAATTATAATGAAACTACTTAATTAATTACAAACGTCAATTGCTTATTTATCAAACTTCTCACCTACTAACGTATATAAAACAGAGCAGATAATTGCCCGAAATAAAAGAACAGCTGTATCAAAACACTTACCCTTGAAACGCATTTCAATGACGATGATCTTTCCATTGAGTCAGCTATATATATCCACTTGGCGGAAATAAGTGCTACACCTAGTTTTTGACATTTGATCATCTAAAAGATGGAATATATATCTCATATTTATACCATAGATACTAAGTGGCAGCACCTAACTATGCATCATATTATCGATCTTGAGCTACAACAATTTGTTAAAGAAAAAGGAAATATATGTGACGATATTGTACGTTACTATCTAGCATTATCTAATGGTTATAGGTTTACCGTCTTCTGTTAGATTGTGGCATTTCGAAATGAGTTGCTCATATCTAATGTCACTTCATGATCGAACAGAATATGTCAACATGCGTTTGATATGTCGTGTTAACACAAATCACGTTCTTTCTTCTGAAATGGCTGTCTAAGCTGTCAACTAGTTTACTGTCTGCCATTAGACATATGTCTTTACTCTTATTTAGTCGTTCTTCTTCTTCTTCATGTTATATATTCTTCTTGTTCTTTTCTTTTTTCCTCTTTTCTCTTTCTCTTGCGTATATAAACGTGGTTTTGGTATGTAACGCAGACGATTGATGATATAAAGAAAGAGAATATAGTAGAGTTAGATTGAAGATCGATTTCTCATATCAAGAATCGTCACAATATGTTTTATGTACTATTGTATGCGTGTGTAAAGGAAACCGTTTCCCTATTGATTTTTTTATTTTTATGTCTGTTATCTAGTGATATTGCTTAGTTGACATATGACAGGAACGATATCTTTTAGTGTCATGTACATTTTTTGCGATTGGTTTGGGAAAGAGTAAATTAGACGATATTTATATAAATAGATGCAGCTACATTTGTTCTAAACTTGATGTGATAGGATCAGTTTGGGGCTGAATGAACTGGATGTGCAATCTCGACATCGAACACCACAACAGTATTTAGAAGATTTGGTAAATGGAACATGGCAACAGATTCGGGTTATCATCATAAAAGGCTACATACGGCATATTCATACTATTGTTCAATAAATTATTACTGCTCAAGGCTAAGACGTTGATTCTTAGTTAGATAGTACTATCAAATATACGTATTATGTGAGCAAGATTCAGCTAGTTTTTTGTATAAGAATATAGAGAATAAAATACATGCAACATCTACTTGAACTAACTTAAATGTAACGCTCCTAGTTTAGTGCGTTTTATGCACGTTATTTGACCTTCTATGACTATCTCTTTTCATCTTATGAAATATTCTTTCGTTCTGTTCGGTTCTGTTCCTTAGATCGCGTTGTATTTTTCCCCAACTTAATTGCTTTTATTATTTATTCATATTATTCCTTCCATTCCTGTTCTCTTCTTTTCTTGATAGATGCGTATATGAGCGTGTGTAATTTATGCAAACAAGGCGATTCTTGATAAGAAGAAATACAGTAACGCATAATTTCATCAGCGCTAGCTCTTCTTCGATGTAAAAATCGTCACGCTAAGCAAGAATATTACTGGATAACAGACAGATAAGTAAAAAGATGAATATGGAAAGAGTTTCCTTTACAAACACAGTAGTACATAAAACATGTTCCCCTTTTTTCTAACAAATTGTTACAATTCAAGATCGATTATATGATGTATAGTTAGGCACGACCACATAGTGCGTAAGGTATAAATATGGCATATAAATTCTATCCTTTAGATAATCAAATGTCAAAAAGTAGGTGTACCACTTATTTCAGCCAGGTGGGTATATCTTCTGTTTTCTTTTCTTTCCTTCACTTGAACATTCTTCACATGTACTCTTTTCTGTATTTTGTTCTTTTCCTTCTTCTGCACGTTTTCTTCCAAGTATGTTTGATTTTTTCTTATTTCATTCTCCAATATATAGTCATTATTTCAGCAATAAAGAAATAGTTTATTCTTGACCCACCAAATGAATCATCCGTTAACAGTTCCTGTTTTTTTGAAACCACCGCGTTCTACCAAATCCTCAACCAGAAAACACAGATGAAAATCACCGTATATTATAATTGTAACAAATCGCTTAGGGTTAAACAACAACGTATCCATTTTATTTTTCTATACTCTCACTTTGATAAACTCTTTAGCTCATGAACCTTGAAGGGATTTCTGACATAGCAGAGAAATAAATTAAAAAGTGACGTTTCTTAATTTTAAGAAAAAGTCTATCATATTTCTATTAGATAATCGGAATTTAGACATCAATGTCGGCATGCTGAAACAATATAAGACCAAATTAAAAGTATAACACTTTTTCTTTTAGATTGAAAACTTCGATCAACTGGAAAACTTTTAGACACCACCTATATCTTCACATTAACTAAGATGGCCACAACAGTTGTATCGAACAGTGGGTCTAAGACAAATGCATACGATGGCCACCTTGAAATCTTTACTCTTATCTGGCTCGATGCTAATGATAAAATTAACGATAATCACGACACGCAACAAAATCTGCGTTCTATCATTAATCAACTGAAAATATTTCAAGATCCACAAGAATGTCAACAATACATTGAGCAAACAGCAAAACAGGATCGATTAGTGTTAATAGCAAGTGGAGAAATGGGTGAAGTAGTGATTCCTATCATCCATCGACATCAGCAAGTCTCATCAATCTATGTCTACTGCAACAACACGATGAATAACAAACAATGGACATCTCAGTTTCCAAAGGTAAGATCATGATAATAAGTTTCAGTTTCATCTTTTCGTCTTCGTAGATAAAGGCTGTTGTCATGGAAGTCCATGAACTTGTTGCTCGAATCAAAGCAGATCATAAAAGTTTAACGAGAGTTAAAGAACCGTTATCCATCACCATGTTCAATACAGGTAAATCAACAACCGGAGTCAATGGTCAATTTGTTTTTTCTCAAGTTCTGATTGACTGCCTTTTACGAATGGAATCTAATAAAAGAGACATAGATGAACTTATCGCTCGTTGCGAAACTGAATATCGTGGCAACAATACTGAGCTCAATAGACTTCGTGAATTTCAAAAGGATTACTCATATGACAAAGCGCTGTCGTGGTACACTCGTGAGTCGTTCTTCTACAGAACTTTGAACAAAGCTCTTCGTTGTCAAGATATTGATATGATGTTTCTGTATCGTTCGTGCATTACTGATATTTATCGTCAGCTACAGCGATATCAGTCTAATATTCCACTACATGTCTATCGGAGTCAGTTAATGACGAAAAATGAACTCGAAGATCTCAAGCAATCCATTGGAGAATTCATTTCTGTAAATTCCTTTCTTTCCACTAGTATGAAACGTTCAATTGCTGTCTTTCTTGCTGGCGATACCACTGAACAAACTTATATGGAACGAGTATTTTTCGAAATCGATGCTGACCCTAAAATAGCTATTTCGCAACCATTCGCAGACATCAGTACACTCAGTGATTTTGATGAATCAGAAGTATTGTTCATGGTCGGTTCCATTTTTCGTCTTAATAGCATCAGTTGCAAAGCTGACCAAGTATGGATCATTCGAATGACCCTGTGTAGTGGCGACGAACACGACTTCAAGGACGTTCTCGCGCATATGAAGAAGCAAAACGGAAGCGGACCGACGAATCTTCGAACATTCGGAAAAGTTTTATGGGAAATGGGTAAACTTGGTCTGGCTGAGAAATACTACAATCGTTTGTTGACCGAACTTTCACTGAATGATCTTGTAATCAGCAACGTTTATGAAGATCTCGCTCAGATTACTTCGCAAAAAGGTGACTTCGACATTAGTATGCAATGGCGACAAAAATCTCTTGCAGTTAAAAACCAACATCAGTCAACTGGTACTGCTCAAATTGACAACATAAGCAACTCTATTGGTAAGTTCGCCGAAAAATTTGATCATTATTGATCGAGTGAGTAGTTGTTATCAAACGAGAAGTTATCTTTTTTTATGCATGCTTACTTCAGTTGAATTCATGGCTGTGTTTAAGACTCAGATCGCAATGAAATGATACTTTCTAAAAAGTCAGTGCAAATGCAAACAGTTTAAAATTCTATGTTAAGCTCAACCCTTTTTCATTCTTCTATTGTGTTCAATCATTCATTTTATCATTGTGACGATTTTAGATAGAAGAGAAGCTTGTATGGATGGAATTATGCTTTATTTAGCTTCGTCATATCAATAATCGCATCGTTTACATACAAACCACACTCTTATATACTCAACCAAGAGAGAGAAGGATAGAGAGAGAGAATAAGAAGAAGAAAGGAAGAGGGAAGCAATAGATAACAGGAAGAAGAATTATAAGACATGACAGACACATCGATGTCGTCACACTCCCGGATCGAAAACAGACGCACTTCTGGGCGTCTGCCAAGGGATCTAAAGAAAGAAGGAATATAAAAAGTTAGAAAAAGCCAGTCGTATACATCAAAGAAAAAAGAATTATTAGCATATATCAAGAGAAAGCGCCTAGAAAAAGTAAACAAAAATATTATTAGCGACAATCGGAGTTATCTTTAGTCTAATACATCTGGTAAAATTTGCATATGTCACGCATGTCATACAAAAACAGTAAATAGCACAATGTAATCCATATCAAAATGTAACAAGAAAAGAAAAAAGGACAGTTACTTCTAGAAAAACAATTTGATACGTATCTAAGAGACAGCTCTTGGAAGTAGCGATATTTGGTGTGTTTATACATAATTGATTGGTTGATAGATCGTTTGTTGTTAATGTCATCGATGCAAACAATTGGCATTAAGGATAAGAATGTTTATTTATAACCTGGGGATGTAATTAACAGAAATAATGTTGAAGCGAAATATAGTATTGGATATTTGTTATTGCATAATATGCAAGCAGTAGCGTAAAATCGATGAGACAAATCATCAAGCAGTAGAAGGGGACCACTTCTAATGCATTCTACTCACCGGCCCTTGAGGAGATGATAAGTCACAAGAATATCACACCAGGACTTGCAAGTTTGAATTCAGGTTTAATATAGGAAATAACAATTGAAAAATAATTGATAGAGTAAAACTGTTGACATAAATCACCAAGCTGTAGAAGAGGAACACTTCCAAAGCATTCTGCTGAAGGATGAATCTATAATTCGATCGGCACATCGCTGTCTCAACCCTCCACAAAATTGAGACTGACTCGGCTATTTATACACGAAAGCCGATTTGTCAATACGAACATGCCGAAAGCCGTAGTGTTCCATCCGTTGAGGAGGTGAAGAGTTAAAACAATCTGCCAATAGCACATGTGAGATCGAAAGATCATGAATAAGGTTGAGTTGCTGATGACAGGATATTAAAGCTAGTTAAGAAAATGAACGAAGTGTTGAATCATGGAGTGAGTAGAGGCGATACAGCACATTACGTATAGATGTTATAAGGACAGTGCGTTGGGATTACGCACAGTCGGCTGGGACTCAAGCCGCCCTTTAATACGTTCGCTGATCTGCGATAACACGACTGTTCGGCTCAGCAGTATTACCGGCTCTACGCTATCTCAATGAATTCGACATTTCGGAAATAATCGTTAATTCGCTTTAGTTCATGTTGTTCGAACAGAAGACTGAAAGGATCGATTGCCAGGGTCGCCAAATGTGACGATTTTAGATAGAAGAGAAGCTTGCATGGATGAAATTATGCTTTATTTAGCTTCGTCATATCAATAATCGCATCGTTTACATACAAACCACACTCTTATATACTCAACCAAGAGAGAGAGGATAGAGAGAGAGAATA